TAGTTTTATTTCTGATTCATTTATGTTTATTACTTTGCCGGATAACATGTTTTTAATTAAAATAAAGAATATTTTGTGTTATATATAATAATTACTCATTTTTATAACAAAATAATTTCAGCCAATTGCATTTAGACGCTGAGACGCAGCCGCTAGATCGAGACGCAAATTGCACCTACCCCGACGGACATCCACGAAGAATTTCTGATTCGATGATTTTTTGAACCATCAATATTTGGTCATATTTTAATGCATAAATGCGCTGAACTATAACAATAATAATGTTGAAGAAGGTAGTTCCATAGTAATAAATTTTAGTATAGAAGCTGTCTTTTCTATGTGATACTTGGTATAGAAACATTTGTTTCGACCCCAAACCAAATTCTGACTTATGTTGTACAGTTTTTTCGTTCTAGAGAAAGACAGTTGTGGCTTTCTCATGGGATAAACGTCAGGACACAAATATGTCAAAAAAAACTTTTCATCAAAGACTTTTGCGTTGGATTGGGGTTTACTTTCATAGCTGATTTTCCCGGTCTAATTATTATTTGTAGATTTGTACTTATTATGGAAAAAGACTCAACATATACTGGTCAGAAAGATAAACGTCACTCAACATTAGAGGATACAATAAAAAGCGACCAAAGTAGTATACTTGATTTTGGTAAACATGGAATATTTGTCGAGAGAACGCTGGCACTCATTAAACCAGATGCAATTCAAAATACAAATGAGATTGAAGATATGATACTGAAAAGTGGTTTTACCATCTTACAAGTGTGTTCACCTTTGATAATAAGCCATTTATTTGATTATTCTTTTCCATTTTAGAAACGTCGAGTTACATTGACAGCTGAACAATGTTCCGATTTTTATAGTGAGCATTATGGCAAAAAGTTTTTTCCATCTCTCGTTGCATTCATGACGAGTGGACCAATATTAGCCATGGTGTTGGCGAGAGAAAATGCAATAGGTGCATGGCGAGAATTAATTGGGCCGACAAATTCAACCCAAGCCAGAGAATCACATCCTGAGAGGTAGATAGTGGAGTACTCTTTCGCTCAGATTAGTAGTTTATGTTGTTGTTATTTTGTTCTTCTTCTTTTGATTAGTGTTCGAGCACTTTTTGGCACAAATGAACAGAAAAACGCTGTGCATGGAAGTGATTCACCTGTTAGTGCTGAAAGAGAAATAAGATTCTTCTTTCCAAATTGTAAGTAGTAAACTTATGCATAGAAAAGAATACTCGTAGTATCTAATAGTGTTTTATAGGTTGTGTGTTCTTCTCAATCTTTTATTCTGTGTTTTTCTAGAAATCAATCCTATGTTTAAGCTTTTGAAGTCTATAGCTATACTTTCTAGTTCGATAGATTATATGATCTGATAATTTGCTCTATTTTTTCAAGGCATTGTTGAACCAGTTCCTGTTGGTCGACCAGCTAAAGATTATCTAGAACAAAATGTAAATAAAACATTAATTAAAGCTTTGACAGCATTATGTAAAGAAAAACCAAAAGATCCCATTGTATGTATTCAGTCGTCTGATTTGAATAAGTACAAAAATCGATAAGTTTCTATTAACATATTTTAGGTTTGGCTTGCTGATAAATTAATTGAAATAAATCCTTATAAACCAAAACTAAATAAAGTAGAACAAACATTCGATGAGTCTCCGACATCGTCCTCAAATGAACAGTTGTTGAATCGCTCTGATTATAGATAACTTAAATACTCACGATATTTCGCTGTATGAGAATCATCCACAGTTCTTGTGTCCTTAAATTTTAATCAATTAGTTACCTTATGTTTTTGTTTCCATTCGCTCTCTTTATATCTTTAATTGTTATTTGACAAATAACTCAATTTTCATAATGTGAACATGTGAGAAAATATCGGAATATTCCAAACACCAAAAAAATATGGCCGAAAGAGCGAAGCCGCAAACAACTATAAATAAAAACAAGACTTGGTGCTTACATAAACATTAAATAATACATCGAGGTAGATGTGTACTCCACCACTCCAAGGTATCTATTTCGTTCATAAATAATTTTTCTTTCTCTCGATCATCATGGCATATTTTGATCGTCGAATGAAGCTAGATAGATTTTATTTTCTGCAGATTCCATGAGAATGTAGACGGATCCTGCAAAGATCCATTTTATTATCCTCATCGATGAGTTAATATATAAACCAAAGATCCAATAATATTACATTTTAATATCAGGTTCAGGATTATCATCCATGCCATCAGCCGTTTTCTAAATCTCCAGTCCTCATTGTTAGACTATGATTTTTGATTACCGTTTGTATCACCATCGCCAAGTAGCAAAAAAATATTGGATCTAATTGAACCCCGTCTGAAAAACATTGATTTACGAGGCGGTATTTGCATACAGTTATTATTTTGCTTCTCATACACGAAGCTCACTTCGATGCGAACAAAAACAGCTAAATAATCAATCATTGGTTATTCATTACACACATTCTATGCATCTATCTTCTAAAACATCAAAAATTAAGAGTATTGATTATACTTCTTCGCGAATTTCATCTTCAAAAAGACATCTTGTCTAATACGAAAGATACACCAGTCAAGATGATTTTTAAGTTGAAGCAAATAATCTAATATAATTAATAAATAAATACAATGATAGTTATGGACATTCGTCTAAAATTTAAATCCATTCATCTACGTTCTTCAAATCAAAATATTATTGAGTTCTATCCTTCAGCTCGATCAATAGGTAAATTCGATAGAACACTGGTAGTGAAGAATTGTATAGTTTTCAATTTTATCGATACAAATCACAATGTAGACTGTTTTTCATGGAAAATCAATCATGTTATAAAATAGAGAAAATATATAAGCTATTGATTTTGAAAAGATATTCATTGTCTCTTTAGTATTTAACAGCATGTAGTGATTTATCTAGCGGATGAGCGGTTCCCAATTGGTTTTTTCAGTTTGCCCATGTCTAAAGTAAACCATTGATTTGGCAAAAAAAAGACATTTCAGACAGTAACTAACTCTCTCGGAACATTTATCAGCTCCTTTGGCAAATTGAACCCATATAAATCGCTGATAGCATGATTTGAGAGGTTATGCTGTTTGTCACGTACTTCGAAGGTGCTCGAATCCCCTGCGCCTACAAAGTCATGTAATAATCTTGGACGAGTTACCTATGTCTTAGTGCCTCGGATCACTCGTCCGATAGGATAATCACCACGTCATGATGTATAATACAGTTTCTCCGTTTAGTCTTTGTGACTTTTCCGAAAACTATTGCGTGGTTAAAGAGTGTGTATGGAGAGTTCAAGCCACAAGACGGGTTATTCTTCTTTCCTTACTCTTTAGTATTTGAAAATGTAGATTCGAATTATTTAATACATCAGAACATTATTCTACATAGTCATTTATTATAAGATCAAACAACAACGACGTTTCAGTTAATTATTCAAATCATTTATTTCTATCTGAAAGTTTAATGGCGCAGAGGTTAGTACTAAAACTATCAACAACATAAAAATTATTCACAATTAGTCATAGTTGTAAATTATAGACCTCGATACATTCTCAAATAGTTTTGCATCAGTTTTACACACGATACGAAAAAGCATTCTTGGCAGTTTTTGAAATACTCAACATCCAAAATGCATAGTTGTTCTGTTAGACAAAGTTCTTCTTACGCATTGTCTTATTCTGTCAATCAGGACAGAGTTGTAACGGGGAACGGCCAAGCCATTTTGTTCCCGTTCTGCTAAGACTTTGCAGAATGGTCGTTCAGACAATGGAGATTTGAATTATGATTTAATAACACATAATAATTGTTTCTAAAACTATAAATAAAGATATCACTCTATTGAACGCAAAGTACTAAACTTTTTCCATCGTATTCAGCAAAAAATCGACTGTCTTTCAATAACGAATTAATATTTCTTTCTAGAGCTTTCATTTTTGTGCAACTACCATGACAAGCTATTTCAAGTGTCGTTAAACTCTTAAAACAGTTTAATACGTCACATACAAATAATCCATCACTAAATGTACGTTCAATATTTTTGACATGAAATTTAATCCAACGTAAATTAACAATTATTTTTGATAGTAATTTAATATCGTTTAGTCGAACTTCACGACAAGCCAACACTTCAAGTTGATAGATTCGTCTGAAAGTATGTGAAATTTGTTCTAATCTTTCAGTGAGTTGTACAAGTTCAGTATAAGAAATAAATAATGATGAAAGATTTGGTGCCATTAATAAAAGTTCTGTAAGAAAATCAATGTTTATGTATCCTCTTGTTGTCGTATAAAGTGAAAGTTTAATTAATTTGGGTAATAGATGTAACGAAACAGATTGATCATCTGGATTAGATACAATATAAAGTCTGTCTAATTTTAATTCACGAATATTATAAAATTTGTTGAGCATTAAATAAAAAGAAGATTTGAATAGATCTTCATCTCTACCATCAAAATTTAATTGTCGAACTTTTGGATATGTTAGATTGACATCAAAATAAGTTGATTCACAATTATTTACAAAAATTGAGGCATCAAATGTTTCATACACATATGGTACTGTATGTAAGTAAAATTTTCCATATTTTCCATCATTTAATAGATAGCAGTTAACATACCATTGTTTTTCAATTAGCCAGAAGTCGCTGCTAAATGATGTTAATACATCATCGGCATAAATACATTTATCATCAATAACAAAACGTAAACGAATAGAACAATGAAATTTATATAATTTTGTTAAATTTACTAATAGAGATTGCCAACGATTTCCTTTGACATAATTGAGATCACGTGTATAAGTTTCAATAGAAAGACTATGAAGTGTTGGAAGATTGTCTGTAAGTAGTTGTAATTCACTAAATTGTATTGCATCTTCAAATGTTGTTTTTAGATGAAAATCAACTAAATATGGTACTTTAATTGTTAAATTTGAACATCGTATTTTTGAAAATGGTCCATTATAACGAATATGAATATTAAGATGTTGAATATTGGGTATTAAATCAAATAACATAAACATGTCACTAATATTTTTTAATGAAATTGTTAAATTGTTAATTTTGGTAGATGAATCAGACAATTTACTTAAACTAAAACCATGAAATGATGTTAATGATACTTCTATTAGAGAATTTTGTGTTAAAAATATATTTTGAAGTAAATAGGTTTGCATGTCTACCGATATTATTTCGTTATATTCAATATTTAATTCTATTAAATCGTTTAATAACGTTAATTTTGTTAGATAAAGTATTAAGGTATCACAGTCACATTCAAGAAGTGTTAAATGTTCAAGATATGGAAATATTTGATCTAATTCTATTTTACTTGTGAATAATTTTATTTGATATTTAGCTAATTCTTTGTTATGAATAATTAATGAATGAACATCATAACCAATAGAGGGAAAAATTTGTTGACAATATGTTTCAAATTGCATTGAAGGAATTTGTGAAAGATGTACACCATGTTTGAAGTGGGTTAATGTACGATTAAGACGAGAGTTTATATGATAGAATGAATAAAGCATTTCATACGACGATAAATAGTAGCAAATATCAATTAGGATCTCATCGGGTAATTGTTCAAGTGATGATTGTTCCATAGCATCTAAATCGATGTTTCGATAATTTGTCTTTTTGAAAAAGAGATGTTGTTTTTAATTTTATAGTCAACTTTTCAAGTTTTTAACGTCATATTTGTTTCAATAGTTAAATAGAATTCAATTCCATTTTATATGAAAATACAGTCATTGATTCAATAAGTGTATCTTATATCATAAAAAATGTTGTGTTTTTCGTCACGACTAACATAGTGAAATAATGGAAAAAAAACTTTGTTCAACTATACATGCGAAAGAATTATTTTTTTTCACTATATGTTAGGTTATTACATTCGTATTTTTGAAAATTGTTTTCTTTTTTTTATTATTTCTTATTCTACGTACACTTTGTACTATGAACAGAGAGTAGTAACTTTAATCACGTGTTCTGAGAGAATACAGCTGACTTTTGTATTTTATTTTTTGCAAAATAAAAGAACAAAGAAAATTCCTCAATTTTTTTTTACACTTTTACTAAAGTAAAACAGTACAAAGCTAAGGAAAAAACAGATCAAATAAAAACCGTCTGTACTAGTGAACGAAAGAATTTAATAGATGAATGTCTTGTATCAGTACTGTGAAAAAGCGAAAGAACACATATGTCGGTATGGATCAGAATTCTCTATTGCTTTTGAGTTCAAATCATGAATGGTTTAAATGATAACGAGTTCAAAGTACGATGAATTTCGACTCAGTTATTAGATATTTTAGAGAGATGTCTTTTTTTTTGTACAAACATAATAGAGTTGTTTGTTATTATTCTTTGTTATACGATGAGTTAATAAAAAAACATGATGTTTTGTATTTGCCTAATTATTTTTATAATAAGGCGTTGAACATATCTTTTTTCTCGTGAGACGTAAATCACTTTGTGACAAAAAGTTGATGAGGGATGAGACGAGAACGAGTTAAAAAAGTTCGATCTTCTCCCATATACAAGGTTATCTTTTCTCACGGCCATCTGGTAGCTAAAGTGACACATGCCATTCGTTAATCTCTCGCTGTACAATACAAACTATACTTTTTAATATAATCTTAACTTGTGCACTAGTGCAAACTTGAATATATATATATAGAATACAAAATTCAATGAAAAACAAGTGGAAGGCTGTTGCCTATAAACACAGAAATAAAAGACTTCAGTTATGGCTATACTTTTATCACAAAATATTTATTCATTCTTTCACTCTCTTGATTTTATCTCATTCAAGAATAGTAAAAATGTAGCTTTAAATCTATTCATTCTAAATTGTTTAGTTTAGTTTTGTGATTGTACAGGATTCTCCAGCAGATTTTTTTTTCTACAAAATGAGATGGATCTACATTCTCATGTAATAAGACGAAATCAGGAATAATATTGACCAACTTCAATCAATTTCAATAGTAATTCCACTTTTTATTGCTGGAACTACATTGAAAATCAATTCTAGAATTGATGTTCTCTTAATCATACACGGTTCAACTACTTTAGCATTTGCTATCATCATATCTATCTGTTCGTAAGCAGACCGTAGTTATGAATAATGAAAGGTCATCACCTGTGGTTGTCAAATCTGGCGTCTCCCCTCCCCTCTAGTGTCCCCCTCTCCCTCCCCTGTGTTACGTACTCTACCTTTTTTGATTTTTATCAATGATTTAGTTCAATTTTGTCTTGAACTTTAAAAATTCTCTGATTACTGTTGATGTTTTTCGATGGTTGTGGTTGACGATTTACACAGCTCAAGAGGTTTTGAATAAAATTAAAGAATGATGCGGTAAAAATTTTGTTAAGCTAAATGTTACGCTATGTCTTTTCCGAATTTTTTACTATCCTAAGTCGGTTCTTTGATTTTACAAAATTTTGCATTAAAACTAGAAAAAACAATATGTTTAACAAGAGTAAATTTATCGTATGATCTTAAATGGAAACATAGTTACTAGAAAATGCAAACAGATGCTTGGACCATTAAATGGAGTGTTTAGATCAGCACCTAGCCCGCTTCGATTACACATTTACCAAACATGTATTATGACTTTATTGGACTATGCATGCTGTGCTTTTGATAGTACTTTTAGAATTCATTTAAAACCTTTTGACTCAATTCAATAACCTTATAATATTAAAGGATTATGTGAGTGATAGTAATGTTTTAGTTCAATATTTAAAAATACGAAATTTTTCTAAACGTCGTCAATCATGATGGGAAAAAGTACCTTATTAAATTTCAATCTTTTAACATCACTAAAAATTCGTTTGTCCAATCGTCTAAATAACAAATGTTATTAGACTATCTGGGCTAGTAAAAGATATGTGTTTTCATCATGCTTTTTAATAAGAACAGTTAATGAAAGAAACTAACTAACTACCTAGAACAGTTGTAGCAATCTTTGGACTCAAACAATTTAAAAAAGCTTTAAATCATTATTTGTATGTATAAAAAATAAAAATTCCTCTTTTCGATAATCATTTTGTTTGTATTATTATATATATTTTTCGTTTTTTTTTTGTTCTCTTTTTCTCTTTCTAGTTTAATTTTATATTTCTCTTTGTGTTCATTCTATGTCTTCGTTTTTATTTGTTTTTTTGTTTTTTTCTTTATTCTATTTACTCTTAATTAAATGTTACAGTTCTGTAAACTTTGCTTTTTTGTAACTATCTTGCCATTCCATTAGCTAAAATAAATACTGAATTGAATTGATGCAGTTTGACAAGTTGATTCTAAATATATTTGCTTTAATTAAAAAATGCTTTTAGAATGATGATATAGAATTTTACATCAGAAACCATAGACTTTTGAAAAGCCTGTAATGAGAGATTCAGAGATTTTTATACATCTATATGCTGATCTTATAGACGTAATATAAATCGAAGAATATATGTTCAAAGTTTGTAAGACTGTGCTAAATTGTACATATTCATTCCATTGCTGAGTTAATAGTAGGAAAATTTATTAGTATGAAATATATTTTTTGCACTTAGGCACTATGATTGATCCAAAAAATGTTTTCGTTCACAACGGAGAAAAGAAGGCGAGATTGATTTATATTGTCTTCAATGTAAAAAAGATTGACAAGTTGAAAAAATAATGTCACTTTGTTCATATTTATCAATTATTAATATATTTTCTGAAATGAATTTTCTTCTCTTTCTAATGTTAGTAATGAAATTCTATTTATTAAAAAAAGATACACGATATTTTGACGTATATTATTCAATATGAAAAATTAAATTATGAATACATGGTTAAACGTTTGCCTGGATGTCCACTGTGCATGTATATCAAGAAAAGTCAGCCCTATCTTTGAAATAGGCAGCTTTATTGAAAATCGTTATAGCAAAGGAAGACCGAGTTAAATTGTCAACTGTTCGCATTAATTTTTAGAGCAAACATATCTTAGCATATTACTTTTCACTCTTCTGTCAAAATCGATAGAAAGAGATGTTATATCACTCAAAAATTTTTCATACGGTATTGATGGTTAATGTTAAAAAGTCACCGTATGATAGTATTTATTTTTTCTGTTGCAGATTCTAGTATTTATTCTAATTAAAATAGTAGATATGGACATTTTAAAATATGATGATACTGATCACACGGTTCGTTCGAAATTAGATCAACCGTATCTATCAAGTAACTCTCATGAACGTCAGACAATATCGTCTCTATACGAAAAGTGTTCTGCATGTGATAATCGAACAAAATCGACACATTTGTCATTTCCTGAATCAAATAACACACAATCAGCACAAAATGAAACATATTTCCCGTTTGATAAATATTTGAATATATTCTCACCACCTCCACCTTTAGATTTTACATTGGAAAAATCTCTCAATAATAGTAAATTATACGATATTTTAAAAGAATATGATGATGCTAAATGTTTAATTGATGAAAAATATGCATCAATATCAAGACAAAATGATGATTCATTATTTCTATTAAATACGGGTAACAACCAATCAAATATTCATTTAATTACTCAAGACGTTGAACAAGTAACCCAACATTTAAAAACGAAAAAAGATATCAACAAACAGTCGAGATCTGAAACACAAATTGCCTTCAATCGTCATTTAACAAAAAAAACATCGAAATCACAGACAAATCATAAGATGACTCATAGAAAAGAGACCTCTCGTTATCATGATAAATTAGACGGAAAACCATCGGAACAACAGATTCACTCGAAACATCCACCAACAAAAGTATGTTAGAAGAAAAATTTTATTTACAGCTTTTTCATCTTGAGAAACTCAATAAGTAGAAAAGAACATTTTTAGTTCAAAAGTTTGATATACATCTTCAACATAACAAATCTCTGAATCATTCTCTATTAATAAGTATACCAGTTGAATCTGATGACTGAAGCGGTTGTCACAATAAAAGGCCTGGGTCTCCTAAACTGTTCTGAGTTTTAAAGCTTCTAGCAGAATCTTATACTGTGTCCTAAAAAAAAGTTGATGCGCTTTTCATATTACCACTTTTAGATGATGAGGTTGAAGGAGGTCTTCTGATGTGTCAATTCCTTTACTCTCACCAAGACTGCTTACAAAAATTAACAATACAACTTTATTTTGATGTATATTTCTTTTCATAAATGAGAATATTTTAATTCTTAATAAACCATTTATTTTTTAAACTATTTGGTATACGCGATTGATTGACGTTGTTTAGATATTACCTGCTAACATTCTGGTCACACGTCGAAATCAATCACGCCTAATAATCAATCCTAATGAACGATTGTTGCCTGAATATTGTTCATGCAATTCCAGGTTACTTGGCCCACCTCAAATACATGATACGAGAGTAACTGAGTCATCATATGTACCTTCGCCAAATTCACAATCACAAAAATTAACTCCACACATCTTACCGAGTATTGAAATTCCATCAATATCGTCACCAACAAAAAAATTTCGTTTCGGAATAAAATTGGATTCTGTCTATCATAAAGGTAGTGATGACAATGATATAGTGAGTAATTCATATAAGCAAGATGAAACATCTAGTAACAACACTATGCAACTACTGCACCAGAATTTAGTAGACGCATTAACTCGACAAGTATTAGAAGAAATAAGTACACAAAACCAATCAATACAGTATACTGTTAACGATTTACAAACACCACAACCAACTCCACCATTTTCACCGATTCAACGAAGAGCACGAAAAATAAATACGCCAGGTATAACATGTAAATAGTGCTATGAAAACGTACTAGTGTGACTTATGAATTTTTTCAACTGAAAATTTAACGTTTTATTCTGTAGAGGAATTCGTTTTCATATGTAAGCATTTCTCTTCCGTTTTAGATGAAGATAAATCATTTGAAAGTACTGTAAGCTCAACAGAAATAAAGCAAGAAGATCAATATTCAATAATTCCTGAAAGAAATGTTCAGACACCTATTATTACGCCTCCTCAATCTCCGCCAGCAACACCTCCACCATCTCCGCCTGTTACAATTCAAAAGGTACCGTTGACACTTCCAGTGAACATACCCGTTGAAAAGAGAGATGCTAGTACAATGGCTACATGGATCGAATTACCCGCTAAACCGCCTGTAATTATTCAGACCACTCTTCCACCTCCTCTTCCTGAAACTATTCCAACGCCTTCAACACCTGTGTCAACGTCTCAATCAACAACAACCGAAACACTTACGTCCTCCACATCTATTAGTACACCATATTCTCTTCATGATGATAGTTCATTTAGTGATCACATTTGGTTTAATCAACATAGTGAAGGAGAACTACATATTGATCTACCACAAACTGAAGTTGTTTTATCAAAAGTAAAGCAACGGTTAGAACAACACAAACAGAACTACAATAATAATATAGCAATAACCGATGGTGACAGTGAATCAAACAGTGCTGGTGAGATATGATATGAAAACATCGTCGACAAGTGACTAACTGAATTTATTTTTCTATACTATTACCGTTTCACAATTTTTTATATATGCATCTTTTGAGTTTTTGTTAAAGATGATTTATTAAATAAAATTCGCTATTGAAATCTTAATGCTGTTTCGTCCGGCTTTGTATTATTACGAACGTCGCTGTTATATTGATATTTAACGTCATCCCGTTTTAGTACGTACATAATTAAGATGTTTTGACGATTAGAAATACTGTAATATATGTGTCAGCATGCGTCATTATTTTCAGATGTGCTTATACCATTCGGTTTGCATATTTCGTTTTTGTTCCAAGTTTTTAACTATTGCCGTTCATCAGTTTTCCAGAAAACTCGGTTTTTCATTGAACCACATTACGACCCCCCCCCCCCCGGGGCGGGGGGGGGGGGGGGGGCGCGCGGGTGGAGGATGGGGTAGTTAATGATGTAGTGATTC